AACTAGGGTACCCGAAATTCATGTTCACGCCGAAATGCAAAATGTAATAAATTACTAAACATATCGCCGCGGTGGTGTCTTCTGTTTTTATAGAAGGCTTTCGCCCATAACTGAGAGTATATGTAATTATTTTTTTTACTTTATTATTGAAATCTTAGCAATTAGGTACGGGTGTCGCAATTGTTCAGTGCTCACATTATCACCTCGTTGCATGGCGGGTTGTGGTTTCGATGCCTACGCGGGCAAACATTTGTGTGATCTACAAACAGCTGTTCCCAGTCTGTGTGCGTGTTTCGTGACACCTTGACGACACAGGTATTGTTTCCTAGGGCTGGAGTTTTGAACTACTGTTGGTTAGTGGCAATTTTGGGGTCCCTTCGCGCGACCTTGACCCAACTCGCGCCGATTTGAGCCATGAAGGTCATTGACCACTCGCCGTTTGCCGGGTCTCCGATTCGTTTCCGAAAATAGAGTTCCCGTTGGGGTTGGCGCCATTTTGACGCATCGAGCGGTCTTGTTACGTCATAGCTGTTATGTGGAGCGAACGCGCGGTACGAATGAACTAGTATGAGGGATGTTCTATATTAGATTTTCGGGTTATTTTCCTTCGTACAAAGAAAAGGCGGTTACTTCCCCACTTCTGAAGTATGTTTACAAGGGAATTGTACAGTTTTACGCTAACGATTCCCTTAAACGTGTCTCGAATTTAAACAACACTGAAAAATGACAACTATAACGATATGACGATGGTAGGCACATACATTATAAAAAGCCGATGAATACAAAACTTACTGTCGTACAACAGTTGATTAAGCTAAATGCACAAACCAAAACATTATTTGCGTGTTTACGAACCTATGCAGTATCGACACTAGCGGATTCCGCACGGGCGTCTATAATCTATGCAATGATATATCACGTTCGTGTTAAATAGGACCATCCGCCGTGGAAATAACGCCGATTTTCCCTTGCCTCTATCGGGCTGTTAGGACACTCCAGAGCTACGAGCGCGCTAGCCTTAAAAAAAGTGTAAAAATAGTGGAATTCTGAAATACGAGCGCCTAAGTGGAACAATGCCTGGTGTTATATTGCGGCGAACGAAGCGAAGTGTAAAACAGCGTATAGTTAAAAGGTAATTGCAAAAGAACCGCACAAAGTAATCGTATACGTTTCGTTCAAAAAATTACAGCAATGAAGTTATACCTCCCGACGGAAAATGGTTCAAATCGAACTTCAAAAGTTAATTCCTTTTTGGAGTGGTGTTCCGAGAGAAAAAAACAGAGATATGACACGCATTTTTTGTCTGTATCTCTACTTTAAGATAGGTTAGGTATTATTACTTTATCTTTACTGGCTACGTGTCTGTCAGTTCGTCAAGGTCCTTGATGGGTAGGGATTGATCGGAATGAATATAAAACACCGAATGTTTAAGATACCTGTATGCCTACGAGATTCACGTGGTGGCCTAATAACCCTCTGTACAGACTGATTACCCTCTACAACCTTTCCTGGCGTAGGACCTTTGTTTCCCAGATGCACAATAGGAGCTGAAGCGATTCGCTCGCTTATTGTTTATAACGACTGTCACGCCCGGTTTATGAAACACTGGTCATCGTGGAAATTAACTAATCAGCTGTCAAATGGTTTAGCAAATGTCATTTGAGTTGCCAAAAGTATGCTTAATTCTTGGAATTGATCATTCTGATCGTTCTGATCAACTTTTACTTATTCAACCATCCTTTTGGCAATTCAATTATATTTTTGTATTTTTTTTTAATTTGCCCTCGCCATAGGATAACATTATCCTGTGTTGTAAGGACGTTTTACAAACATAAATTTTACGCGGACAAACGCCCAGATGCGAAACAATTATCTGTGGGTCTCACAAATAGTTGTCCCGTGTGGGAATCGAAACCACGACCCCCGAAGCTGAAGTCAGTACTTTGGCAACTGCGCAACGGAGTCATCAATATTGAGAAGCCATTTGACAGCTTAGTAATTAATTTCTACGGTTATCAGTGTTTTAAAAACCGGGCGCTAGTCTGTTACTGATCATTCCAGAGCGCTCGTATTCGAACCTGCACCCGGACAGCAGGTGTGAGGATGGAGCGCCCCTAGGCGGATTAAGGGAATCCCTTGCCAGCGGGCCGCTTCAGGACGGTCGCGTATTGCGGCGGGTGGTAATAACATCTAAAGCGCTCCGGGACCCCACAACGGGCCCTACTGTCACTCGAACTTCGAGATATCCCGTCGACATCGCACTGAAATCGCAGATGTAGATACGCAGATGCTAAGTCCGCGTTAGGGTCCAAACAAAACGTCGTGGAACACCAAAATAAGAATTAATTGTAATTTTATAATTTTACAATTATTTAAGTCTTGTCAGAGCGATCGTGTCAATTCTCCTTCTTCCAGTTACCAGTGCTGTCATAGACAAAAATTACGAAGAAATTAAGAAAAAGAAACATTTTAATGAACGATTTCTAAGAAATTTGATTTGTTTCCAAGAAATCGTTCATTCAAGAAGCTGCTGTTCTTCATTTTTGCTCGGCGCAAAGCTTTTCACAACACGTTGAGTTCGTACGGTGACCATAAATACGTCATTGACTAAGATTAGGAACAAAATATAAACTATTCATATATACCTATACTGTAAATTCATTTGATATTTTATAGCAACAAAAATTATCGCTCCAGGAGGGAGATTTAAATTTCGAACGCAGTCAGATCGAACGGCCGAGGCGTCCTCACGAGGGGGTAAATTACTTAAGAGCCAACATAAACGGCGGTCGAATGAATTCAGCGCATTAAAATCGCACCAGACATCCGCTGTTCGCCGGGAGATCGCTTGCATTCGTCAATATACAGTTTACCGCCCACGCTGCACTTTCGTGACACATTTAACTTGCCAAAGTTAAGTGGCGTTAATTTGTCCAGCGCGTAGCGCCGAGGGTGGCATGGTTTCGTGTTAAACTGTCGGATCGTGTTTAACGATGCTACTCCGCGAGTACATTTGATGATTTACATAACTAAAAGCTGTACTGAAGAACTATAAGGCTCGTCAATTTGCTATGCGTCTGTCCTTGACCGTTAATCAAATACCGAGAAATACTTATATACTTCCGATGTAGATTTATAGAGCATTAGTGCCCCGCAGAAGTTAATGCTGATTCACGAACGGTAATGACGTCGACTCAGAAGACCAGCGTGAAAACGGAACATATTATATTTATTTATTTAATATATTCTTTGTTGCAATTAACTTAAAAATAAGGATTACAAAGGGCGAACTTACTATCTTTTGGCATTTTTCCTAGGTAACCCCGGGCGTGGTGAGAAATTATAGTTGTGAATAATAGTTTTCAAAATATTTGGATATCACTGCATACAACTGTAGCGAGTACATTCTAGTAGCTAAGGATTAAATTCCGGTAGAAAAATTTGATCCGTCACAAGTAACAACAATGGTAGGGGACACCCCGACTCCAACGAAGCCTTGTGGTAATTTCATCAACTTTAATAACTTCCAAATTCGTATAAACATTTTAATTTACCGAATATTTTTTTTTTGGAATTTATTGAGTACCTACACCGACTCCTCGCTGGAGGCGGTTTTCCTGATTTAATTAAATCTTCGCCAAATAATTCTCCGTCCAAATTCTAATATTTTTATATCGGGAAAAGGAAAAAATATTACATATTGGTATTAATTATACGCTCCTGAAGGCATTCTATGGTAAATGTTTCAAACATTTCTGATACCGCACAAATACACATGAACAACAATTAATGCGCGTTTGAGGATGGCGTTTTTAAATTAGCATTAATTAGGAGCACATTTTAATGGCTCGTTACATCCGTCACTTGCACGATATATTTGTCGTCTAATGAAAATAATACAAATATTTTGAGCATTTGTATTCAGTAGCCAGTACGTACTCGAATAATTGGATTTTAAGGGACTAAACCAACTTAGCTGACATACTAAATCTGTGATTTTAGGGCCTGAATCGGTGAAATTCGACCACCGACGTATTTTATTTTATTTGGTACACAGAACAGCAAATAGTCCAATAAACTTAACAATAGACTTAATAGGAGCAACTTATACATTCTTTACTCCAAAAACATTTGTACCTACACTCTGTACATATGTACACTGATATCATTAAACAATATAGTAGCAGTTTATAAATACATACTTTAAAACTACTAACGTTAAAACTTTGAAAAGAGAAAAAAAAAAAAGAAATCAAAACGATATGACATAAGATTTCCTCCGTAAACGAACACTATTTTTTTTATTTATAAAAAAAATAATGACCTTACTTTAGGATAACATTATCCTGTGTTGTAAGGACGTTTTACAAACATAAATTTTACGCGGCCAAACACCCAGATGCGAAACAACTATCTGTGGGTCACACAAATAGTTGTCCCGTGTGGGAATCGAACCCACGACCCCCGACGCCGAAGCCGGTACCGCGGCGACTGCGCCACGGAGTCATCTAAATCTAATATATAATTATTGACTATGACGTCGATCCGGAAAATTGTAATAAGAGAGCTTTTTTCCTGAAAGAGAGATATACTACGCAGATATTGTCGGCAGTGGTAATGGAAGCAATTGTAATTCTCTCCACTCCAAACTTGTAATATGGATTTCTTCACTTGACCACCACAAAATATTCCACAAACGATTGTCTTGTTAGAACAAATACGGTCAGATCCATAGCATTGGATAGAGGGAGTCCCAGGGTAGGTGTCCAATTTCATAGCTATCCTCCCTAGAAAGCGCTACGAAACGAGCAATAATAATATATAGTAGCCAAAGAGGGTGTAGATAGACAAAACCCTCTCCTCCCAGAGAAATCTAGAAGAGACACACATAGACATCATAATGGGGTAGTACGAAAACAGCCTAGAGTCGGCATTCTTGTGTTAAAAATAATATACTTGTATAAAAATCGCCGGGATCAATTTGCGAGCGTCAGTCCAATATGCGATCAAGTGTAGCCGAACCGAAAACACTCCTAATTAGTCGTGGTCCCGTTACCCGCCAATTACCCTCTAATGGGAACTTCATTATCGACCTAAGTCATATCGACGGATGTCGTACAGTGCGCCGCAGTGTCGCCACCGCGCACAAGCGACTGCGCACTCTATCGCGCAGTGTTAGGGCTCGGAATCGGTATGAACGTGCGCGCCGCGCGTCGCCCGCCGTACGTTGATATATTACCGCAGCCTTCCTGTCCCTGTCGCGGGCCCGTGGGGATTTTAGGGGAAAAAAACTTCGCCGCTGAATAGTAGGCGATACGCTATCTGGTGTCCTTGAGAGCGCTTTTTTATATCAGTTTCCGCGTCGACGGCCGCGGTGGGACGCGACCGGCGGCGGGACCTGTCGGTGTAATGAGGTCTGGTTGTTTGAGCCGATCTGGAGATCGTTTAGGACGGTCGCTGGCATTCGAACTGTTCCGTGAGAAGACGCTGTGAAATAAGATTTCTCTCCAAGCATTTTTCACCCGAACAGGCGAAACGAATTGAGTGTGTATTGCTGAGAAGAGCTTAGTTCTTCCCTCACTCTACTAATTATCGCACAACGCATACAAGCTTATACAAGCGAACTTTAAATATTATAGAAGTTATTCTGAGTGTGTTCCTTCTTATTCTGCCCTAATCCTGCCAGATGGAGCAACTACGCTACCGAGTTATTTGAGTTCTATAAGACAACGGAAAGTAAACTTGCGCATACAAGATATTGTTCCGTTTAAGAAAAGAATTTAGAACCCGCAGGCAAATCAGAACATTATGATAAGATCTCAACGGAACATAGTCAAAAGCAGTTTATTAGGGCTTGACTCACACCTTAGTGTTTCGTCCGGCACTTTAAAGAGCCATTACAAGATTCAGGGGTCACGTATACACACCATAGAAGACAGGTACGGGACATTTATGTGGAATCAGCTACAGCGAAATTGGAAAGAATCATAAAATCGTTTCGATTCCAGCGCCAAAGTAGGTATCCACTGTTACCTTAATGAATACAGAGCAATATAAAATCGTACGAATAGAAACGAATTTACATTAGTAAGCAAATTGCGCAAAATCCACGATATACACGCAACAGCACCCCACGCAACAATGCGACTTAAATGCGGGCCCCTAAAATTCACATTGCTCTGCGACTGCGCGGGTGAGGTGATGCAAAAAATTCGACTACGTACGGCGAACAAGTCTAGAATACCTGAGGCGTATTACTCAATACCTAAGGTCAATGACCGCGGCGGTTGTTTTGTTTTGGTCGGTTCGGTCGGCCGCGGCGCACGTCGCTATACAAGGCGGCAACGCGTGACGGCTCTTTTCGTCGAATGGCGGCGAGAAACTCTATACGTTCAGCGTTCGCACGTCCCCGTCCCTACAAAGAAACGCCGATGGCTCTGCGAACAGACTATCCATAGCAGGCCCCGCGTTCGACTCTGACAGACATACAAAATGGCTTATTCGAATTAAACTGTATTTATATCTGGGCTGCCGTCAGTTTTTATCGAACTATGACATTCAGACGTCCAACGGCTCAGTCTGTCCCGTGACCATGAACGCTGAAATGGGTTCGAAAAAAGTTAGAAATAACCGCGATATATCCGTTAATATTCGGTTTAGTGTTAGTTTTGAATCGCGTAAACACAAGAAATTATCATGGTTTATTCGATTTCATTTTCGTGATGGCGTGTGAGATACGATTCTAGGCGGCGACAAGTAACGGTTCCCATTGCATGGATGTTTTGTTGAATCGAACCCACGACCCTCGAGGTCGAAACCGGCATCACGGTGTCTTCAATCAACCAATCGTGATAAAATGTTCTATGATATAATTAGTCTTGGTGATATAATTAGTCGCCAAACCAAACGAAATTTTCATACCATCACGCTTTAAGAACGCTTTACTTGAGTTGGTTAACACACCGGTATCTTTTACGCTGAATTTAATGTTTCCTCTAGTTTCTAACCTATGACCAATTTAAACGCAGAATTAAAAGTAAACTTATGTTTAGCCATAAGTATATTATAGCATATGATATGGGAAATATCTCGACGAAGCCAATGTGTGGAGTTTATACTGTTGATAATCACGTAGGCTGAAATAAGAATATTATACCTATATATTATGTTGTATTTATATTGTTGTGGTTTTTAAAAAACGGGCAACTGTTGAGTTTTTTGCCGGTCTCTTCTCAACAGAAACTGCCGTCCGAACCGGTGGTTACTTACTTACGAACTTATGTATCAATCATTAATGTAAAATTCGACGCTTCGTAAGAACGCGCAAGCAAATATTTGAATAAAGATATTTTGAATTTGATATGTTTAATTAATTAAGTATATCCTTAATATTTTATATATTTTGCTGTAATTATGGCCTTCTGCATCACGGTTTAAGTTCTATTCGCCCAAGACTTGCATTTGACTAACCAGCGAATATTTCTGAGGACTTATACACAAAACGTTTGTTTATAACGTCTAACGTACTTAACGTTAAATACGTTAACTTTCAATAGTGGTAAGTAGAACCTTTTTGTTTTTTAAATAATAATACACGTGGGCTTGACGAAAGGGCGTACACAAAATTCACACGGTTAGAAGTTGCCGACCCCGCGCCGTAGCACAGATAACCGAAGGTTCCAGTGTTGCACCAATTAATATTGCCGATAAGCGTGTCAGAAAGACATGTGGGTAAGGGACGCGGTGTTTCAGGTTTGAATTTAACAAAACAGCGGGAATTTGGTTACAAGTTTAGGGTTCAGCCGACAGGTCAACATATTTCCGCACACATGCAAATTCATATAACATCCCTTGACACGACACTACGTCTGTTCTTCAAATAAGATATAGTAATTCTTTACAGATACCGTAAGATTAAAAGATGAAATATGTAATTTACTGCATGTAACATAAATATTATACACAATAAAGACACAACCAAAGGAAATCATTGGAAGAAAAATACTTGTGTACCTTCGTACAGAAGTAATTATCCTAAACCTATTAATAATAGGTTCAGAAACATGACTATATTTTCTCATTGTCTAAAAGTCTTGTCTAAAAAAGGCTATTATTTAGACACTGAGAAAAATCTACCACTTGAATTTAAAATTCATAGATTTATTTTTAAATGTAGGCGCAGACACTAGCAAAATCATTAATAATGACATCTAGCACTGGTTTACTAATTAACCCTGCCCTAACAGGAACGGTCTGGGGTCAAAATTTGTTCATTTTTATTATTAAAATTCTTTTTTTTTACAACACTGCCCTTAATTTAGGATAACATTATCCTGTGCTGTAAGTTACTACGTTTATACTAAGGGAATCGTACGTTTTACGAACACAAATTTCACGTGGACAAACACCCAGATGCGGAACAATTATCTTTGGGCCACACAAATAGTTGTCCCGTGTGGGAATCGAACCCACGACCCCCGACGCCGAAGCCAATAGCCTTGGCAACTGCGCAACGGAGTCCTTTAAAACCATATTGTACAGAATTGTTGAATCCAGGTTCTTTACAAGTACACATGAGCTACTTCTAAGCATCGTGCTCCTCTATGGCATTCTTCAACAGCATACCGGACATGTATAAGCAGCATTGATTCAGCATTTTTTGTAACAAGCATCGTTGGATTCATTTACTAGCTGCTGCCCGCGACTACGTCTGCGTAGAATAGGTTGAAGGCGTAACATTCAGACAGAAAGACAGATATACATAAAAATATGTATATAAATTATAGCCTATGTGTTATTCTGATGTATAAGCTATATTATTGTATAGTTTCATTAAAATCCATTCACCAGTATTTGCGTGAGAGTAACAAACATCCATCCATACACACAAACTTTCGCCTTTATAATATTAGTAAGGATACTCACATCGATATCGTTATTTGTCTACGCATCCCCCATCGGTGTTCCCATTGTGAATAGGAATTTTCCGTTGTTATTTTGTTTCGTCGTCTGTCTTAGAGGTGCGTAAAAAGTGGGCCATATACATGGCCGTGGCCCGTAATCGTGAACACTTGTTTAAACTTTCGATGCATTACGCGTGTCCGCTACATATGTCACTGGTGGTCTCACGATGAGAAATAGCAGCTCGTTCAGTATTGGGTGCACAGGTCAATTCCGAAGTGATTTTGTTATTTACAAATAATCTTTTAGAATTTTTCAAACTAGCGTTCATAGGATTATTTACATTACGATTATATATGTCGCCGAAATAAAAAAAAGACAATTCTCTGATATGTTAAACGTTTATGCCTCTTATGTGCTTGGGATTAAGGTTAAAATTTCTTAGTCCACTCTGAAGTACAGCCTAGATGGCAGACGATGAGCATATGTTGAATCTCATCCAAAAAATAAAGCAAAAGCCCATAAAAGCCGTTGTTATTGGACTGAGTTGAGAGATACGCGTCGCTAATGTTTCATTTATTTGGTTCAAACTTACGAAAGCTGTCGCAGGAAGTTGTGAAAGGGTAGAAAAACATCGAATTATCATATCTTTGAAAGAGAATTACATGTCCGAGTAATTTCATTATAAGGTTTGAGTGTGCACTGCGCCTCAACATGTTTTGCCTCTAAATAAACTAACGGCCTACAAATTATACGCCACAGATGGAAAAAATCTTCCTCGGTATAAGGGTACAGGTGTTAAAGCATAAAAACCACATGACAATCTATGGTATGGCAACACACAACAAATTCGGCTGTTGCACGATTGAGCAGGACCTGGAAAGTCCGACAGTCCCTCAGAAGGCCGGCGTGAAGTGAAAGTTTAATACTTTCGCGTCATCTGGTGAGTAATAAAGTAATTGGGGGCTACTATTTTAAAGGTTAGCAACGCATCTCCAAAAACTCTAGTTTTTGTTATTACCACTTTCTCGGTTGTCAAATTTTCATAAAAGAAAATGCCCAATTCCTCGAGTGTTCTTCACTGTCGAGAACTATGTAAATTGTTAATATTAAATATTGTTGAGTTTCTTGCCGGTCTCTTCTCAACAGAAACTGCCTTCCGAACCGGTGGTACCTTACGAACCTATATAGTTTTATGTAATATATAAGTTAAGTAGTATATAATTTTTCATGTAAAGTTTGACGATTCATAAGAACGCGCAAGCGTCTATTTAATAAAGATATTTGATTTGATTCGATTTGATTTGATTAGCGGCTAAAATCACAATCGACAATTCCATTCACCCGGATTCGAACCTGAATATTTGAATACAAGAGCACGTTCAGAGAACAAAAGTGAGCACTGCTACCGCGCCTTTAATAAGCTAAATAATACAGTAAAGTAGATAGGGATGCATAATTTGGTAACAATCAAAACACGTACGTAGGTGCACAATTTTTCTACAACATAAATACGCTCTCATACACTTTATCCAGTTCTGTACGGAAGAGCGAGGAGGCGTCTCGAATCTGCGAAGCCACCGCTCACT